GGGAGGGGGCGGGGCCAGCGCTGATTTGAGGGGGCCCTCGGAGCCGCGGGGAGGCGGGAAAGGGGGTTGTGCGCCATTTCCCCTCCTCAGGGCTGTCCCGCGTCAGCGCTGGGCCGAGCGGGGGCTGGTTTCCTTCGGGAACGGGTGTCAGTTGTCTGAGGAGGAGGAGGTGAGGCCAGTGGGGAGTGAACTATTTTTGCAGGTGGCCGTGAAGTGTTTTTCGGAGGTGAGTGTGTGACTAGAAGGTACCGAGGGCAGTCTTGGCAGCTTCTCTCAGAGAAAATACTCTCTTTTTCTTTTTTTTTTTTCCCTTAGAGCGTCTTAAAAAGGCATGTCTGACTCTCCAGGAATTCCCAATGCTGCTATTTGCTGGTGCATCAGGAGACTGACTCCAGAGTGCGTGCCCTGCTCCTGCCCTCCTCAAGTACCTGCCGTTAGCCAGGGTGGGGAAGGGAGGTGGGTGAGGCCACCCAGAATAATGGCTCTTTTTACGGTGCTGTTGGAGCGTAGAATCAAGAGAAAACCTTTAAGAAGGCATGGTGGTGTATTTAATGTAAATAAGGAATGGCAACCCCCTTTCTTTCCTAGGGGAAAAAAAATATTTCTAATGTACATACAAGCCTCTACTGCAACCTTGCTACAAACAGCACAGATACCATTTTAAATTCCATTAACTAATTGGGGAAAATCCTTCTGTAGCTGGCATAGACCCAGGCAACGTGAATTTAAGTAATACTGGTTGCAACTATCTTTTTTTTCCCCTAAACCAGAAAGCCACTGCCTGTGTCCATTTTTAAAATGTGTATATATAAAAATGCATATGTACCTCTGAACAGTTTTACTTAACAGTAGCAAAAACATGGCATTTCAGCTGCTGAGCTAGATTGCAGAAATGACCATTGTGTTTAATTCCAGGAGCAGCAAGCACCTGTTCTTGTTGCAGTGCTTTACCGCAAAGGGAGACTACGGGCCCAGCCTCGAGGAATTTCTAATCTGTGGTAGTGCCACATCTAGTTTCTGGGGAAAATTGCTTAAATCTCTGGGTCCTTGTTTCACTCTCAGTGAGTGTATTCCTACAGTCAACACATTTAAACATTTTGCTGCGAGTCTTCAAATTGCTGCATTTGCTCAATGTAAAAAAAGTTGTTCAAAATATAGCTGTGTCTTCTCTCACAAACTAACACTCCCTAAACAGCAATGCATGTAGAGATACCAGTATTGCAGGTTTCTGGGACTTGTATTTTAGGTTTGCTCGTCTTATGACAAACACTTGCACAGGGAATGAGTGCAGTGCTGCTGCTTGCATTGCATCCAATTGTGCAAGTTTCAACCTGCTATTTAGCTTTGGCTTCTCAAGAGAAGAGTCTTGCAGTTGCAAACAGTCCCTTACAGGTTAGATCGGGCACAGATGAATAGGAGTTAGTACATGTTGGCTGATGGAATTAGTCCTGTTACCTGCAAAGGTTGAGCGCTCCTGCTCCTGAGCTATTATGAAGCTTTATCGCAGCACTAGCTATGTTGTAATCCAGCAAGTGCTTGATCTTTTACCCGCCCAGGCACTGGAGGCATTTTTAATTATCTGAGGGTTAATTTGCATAGAAGCTTTTGCTGAAACAATAAATTCATACCTCTGTTATTATTGGATATGAGTTTCTGTATCAACACGTGTATTTGGATAAAACCAAAGTAGCTTCCTACTAGCATTAAGACAAAGGGGTTGCTTCAGAGCAAGTTCAAGAGTCATCCAGCACTAAAAACATCTTCCACTTCTTTGCAGGGAAAGGACAATTATAACATGTGGTATGAGAACATGTGCTCTAATGCCTCTTTTCTATGCAGGGATGAGGTGATACAAACGTCTTGTCTGATGAAAAGCATGTTTTGCAAGGCTTGACAAATACAATATTCACCTTGAACCAACGTATGTTTTAAATGTTGGTGAGACTGTTTTTGCAACTTATGTTGTAAAACTCCATTTGAACAGCTAGCTGTTTATTCATCTTATTAAGGAATTTGGTACTTACTTCAGTTTAGAGGGGGAACTGCTATTTATGGTGATATATAAAGTGTAAGTAGGGTGAGGGGGTGCCAGAAGGGGATATCTGTCCCTGTGCTTGTCCCTTTGCTACTGTCATGCAGGCCCCCTTACCCCTCCAGTCTAAAGTGGAGAGCAGAAAAACAGGGTACTGATGGCGCACTAGGAGCTGTAGACAGTCCATGCTCTTGCAGGGCAGTGGGAAGCAGAATGGAAGTTTAGAAAGCTCAGCTGTACTTGTACTGGCAGCACTGCTGTAACATAGGAAACGGGTCCCTTCCTCTAAGCAGTGTTGTTCAGCCTCTCCCACCCCCCTCCCACTCCTGTACTAGTTATCAGACAGGTGTAACAGAATCAAGAGCAATCCACGTTGTTTCCTTTCTGCTTTTACTTTAGAGACTCTGAAGTGTGTACAGTATCTTCTATCTCTGTTTCTTTATATGCTGCGTAAACTAAAGCCTAAATAATCCCGTGGAACAAGTGAATGGTTTCATCTCCATGTTACAGATAGGAGGTGGAGGCACAGACAAAACAATACTTTGCAGGAAATTGCAGTACAAGCTAGTAGGAGATCCACATTTTCGTCATGACTCCTGACATTTGTCCTTGCTGCTAAAATGTGTCCCTATTTCAATGCCATAGCATGTTTTGTAATGGGGGGAAAAAAAATGTTTTTTAGCAAAACTGTTCTACATTAAAAGGAAGCGTTTATTTTCATTGATATCAGCTCAGTGAAGGCTTGACCCTGGGCCCACAATGGGAGTTTTATCCTTGACTTTAATGGAAGAACAATCAAGGTCTCATGATACTACATCCTAAAGAAAGGAAAATGCTGCAGTTTGTATGTATCAATAAGATAAATGTCTCATAGTTAGTGTAAGCCGCTATATTCTTGCAATAAACGGTTTATTGGATTGATTAAATGTCTTAACTTCACTTTAGCTATTAATCAGTTTTGGCAGCTGTTTATTGCTTTGTATACTTCGAAGTAATGGAGATTATTCCTTAATTATCTCATTGCAGTTCATTCATTGTTTCCTAAATAGTGCCATTACAGTGGTAAATTGCAACAGTAAACCAGTGTCAATACAAAGTTATGGAGTTCCTATTTTATGATGCATTCATAAAGTTAACGCAATCTACTTAAAACGTAGCTGTGATTTCAGCGCAGTGACCTATTTGATATAGCATAAGAGATTCTGATGAGAAAACAGTAGAGCATTAAGTGTGCTGGGACTCTGCTTTCACCAAAGTAAAACATAGCATATTCCCTGTTGGAATATATGTGCATATCAGAATTTATTAAACTAGTACTTATTTGATCGCTTTTGGTTTCACCAAATGCTGTGAGTTCCAAAGGTTTTGTGCCTTTGAATACAATGTATTTATTTCTTTTTGTCTGTGAAAAAAGAAATGAGAACTCTAAGCAATACTATCATTTAGAGGTTACTATTGTCATTCCACGGAAGGACAAGAGAGTACCAAATCAATCAGAAGAAAATGGCTGCTTTTAGTATTATTTTCAGATCTGGCAGCAATACATAAAGTAGCAGTTGCATAACAATTTCCATTCTAGGTCCCTTTTTCAGTCAACTGTAACTATACCTAACTTTAACATTATGAGTTGTCTGTTTCAGGCTGAGTTGTTTGGGAGGAATTGGTATTACTGTCAAGCTGAGAAAGATTCATGAAACCCACTTCCAAGAACTGTAACATAAATTGTCTCCCTTCTTGCTCCCCAATAAGATTTTTTTTAAAAATAACACTGCAAATTTTGAGTTCTCATTTTTTTTATTCTCCTTGACTTTCCACTGCGCATATGATAGTGGAGAATGTGGGTCCTTATCTTGGATTAAATTAGTGCTGAAGATGAGGTGAACGGGTTTTTACTAACACTAAG